AAAGGCTAGAGATATTGGTCAATAAAAATGTTACGGTCAGAGTCGTAATAGACTGACTCCGAAATAATTCTTTTCCTCTTCAGCAGAAAAGGTTGAAGGTAAAGGATTGTCTCCGAGGCCAAGAGAAACAAGTGCCTGCGAGATGGCCTCCGCTTGCTCATAAAAGTTGTATTCACCGTTCACTGCATGGTAAATACCCCCACGACCATGACCGAGGCCGCTCCGGGATGTTAGAGTCGCATCCAGCAGAAGATTATAGAAGTCCGCGACTACAGCCAGAATATTAATGAATGCAATAAAACTTGAAGTCCTTACGGGCTCACGTTCGTGGATATCAACATTAGGCCACACATTCTTCCCTTCCCCAATTATACCGGCTTGACGACGTGCAATCGCAGCCTTGACGAGTGTCGGTATCTGAATAGAATGAGGATTAGATATTCCCGCATCGAAAAGGGGCCCGGTTGCGAGACCGTATATTGTGGGTGGTAAGACAATATATGATTTGATATAGCCTTCGAGATTTGAAGGCGTCAATGTTATCGACAAGAAAATTTTGGAGCAGTTTCACCTTCCTTGTCGGCTGCGATGATTTCCAGATCGACTATTCTATGAGGTTGGATAGGAACCAGAGTTTCAATCTGGTCGGGATTTGCATCGTCGTAGATGACATCCGTTGAATGCATTCCTCCTGCGAGCTCCGCATATACCCCTAAATAGCAATGAGAACGAGCATTTCCAATTGGTAGGTGTCGAGGAATTCACCTGTTCCAGACTGGAGTCGAATAAAAAGGTTCAGAAGTCAGTTGCGTCCACTATTTTCGAATCGAAAACAGTCTGTTTGTACTTACAGTATTTATAAAAATAGACTGCTTCGTTGTCTCTTCAAACCGTTTCTTCATTCCTTTGAGAGTAAGTTGTGCAGCCACAAGACTGGTACAATCAGCCTTTTGATTATAAAAAAATGAGTGAAAATCAACGAAGAGCTACACGGACTCCAAGACTTACCGTAGCAATCACAACATCTACTTCAGAAACAGCTTTGACTATTACTGATTCATCAGTGTGGGATCCTATCACTGCTTTGAATCCCAGTTCTTCAAGCTTCTTTGCCTTTTCCGGGGAACGAACGAGGACCCGGATGTCGAATTTAGAAATATCTTTGCGCTGGAGCAGCCGACTGAGGATAGAACCTCCAATATAACCTTAGAGCGTCACTTCAGTATGAATCAAGAAGGACAGTAAATGAAATTTACCTACCTGTCGCTCCTGTAATGAGAATTTTGGTTTTGGTACTCATGATCGGTGTCTTAAGTTATCTCGACAAGATAGATGTAGCTGGATTCTTCGAGAGCTGGAAGAGGTCCAATGATATTTATATTAAAGAATTCCCGACGAAGATGGGGAAATGTAGCACGGATTTGTAAGAGAAAACTATCACGAGTTGCAATTGAAAGATGGTGCAAGAAAAGTATACAAAAGACGTACCAATCAAATTTACATCTTGCTGACCGAGATGTTTCATAATGATGGCCAACGACCCCAATTATTGTGTATAGGTACTTGGACTGAGCACTGTGTCGGTGTTTCCGGTCATCTGGTTTCAGGCTATGGCTAACACTGCACGCAGTTTTGTGGAGATACGTAAATATCAGATTGTCCACTGGCAGTTTTTATTAATTATTGTCCACAAGATGCTCTTGAGAACTTGCCTGCGAGACGGTCGACAGGAATCGAATAGGCGGATCTGATGATCTATAATATAAGAATTGGAAAGAAGAGGACAACCATTGCATATAACTATAAAGGCTTTACTTTTCGGTGTCTCAGCGAGGTTGACGTTGGGTGTGATGGGAGGTGATAGGAGTCGAAGACGTGGACAAGCATCAGCAAACAAAATCGACGGTCTACACTATGCATGTCAGCGTCCTCATAAGCACATTGAGCACACGCATGTCTCTAACCCACTCGCAGCTACAAGTTCAATGGCCATAAATCGTTTCAAAACTTCTATTTTCTGCGGATTTTCGCTATTGCTTTTCTGGAATCCGGGACGTTGATATAGCTCAGGATTTGTGTTGTTTATGCCAGACTGTCAAGACTATAGAAGGACCATAAACCACGTACGTTACAGCTAGTTGCAAAATTCCAGAGACAAAACCACTTCAAAATACTTAGAGATCTCTATTTGTTTTTGTGTGGTTATTTTCTATAGAATTTTGTGGAGCAGAGCTCAGGCAGCAAACCCAACGCAAGTTCGTTACTATCTGTGGTGAGCATAGATCACCGGCGTTTCCGAACATGGTTAGCTTGCTCAAGCCCCACTCACAGCAACAAACACCGATTCCAGAGTATTTCGAAGCCGTTTTGTCTCTAGAATTTTGCAACTAGCTGTATACTATCTATCTGGTGCCCCTTCAGTTATAATCTTATGGTCCACCCAATGTCACGATCTTCTTTCCTCTTGTCCGATGCTACATCCCAGTTGCACTACGCTCCGTTCTTTTCTGACCGGCATGGTCAACCTTGGACTTAACTTCGAATCCCTACTTCTTCCGCGCAGACCATTTATTCAGAGTTGCTTGCAGCTCTCGGACGGTGCATGTCTCAAAGCGTTTTTCGCGGTCCCCACGAACGAAGGAGGGCGCACGAGATGAGAACAGAGCGGAAAGACTGTGCAAAAGTGTGGGGGTGGTTACCGGAATGGGGAAGGCTGGGCGAATGGGCGTGTTGAAAGCTACTGAGGTCACAAACGATTGGTGTGTATGTCCCCCCATTATTCAACAGTATACTGATCATGATGTTGTTCTTGCTTTCTCCGCGGCCCGAACAAATCACGATAGTCCGTACTATCTCTACTTGAGGTGACTGAGGTTCAGTCTTATTCCTTGAGTCTCCATCCCTCCGTCATTACCAAGACCTACACACAGTATCTCAGGTATCGGCACGGTATATTCTCACCTTGTGTGGTGCTCATTAAACCTCGTTCAGAATTTGCAATTTCTTTCCGTTACATCATCCATCCGTCGCATCTTCCTGCATACCGCTTCTATGTCTCCAATGCTATGTATTGAGTCGTGCGCGACCACAAACAGGCGCATGTCGAAACTACTCTTCGTTGGAACTACTCGTAGCTTGTAGACGTTGTCTAATTCCTCGAAGAAACCGATTCGTGTCAATGCATTTGTTCTCTACCGGAAGCACCTCGTGCCACAAATCATCAATAACCTTCTCCGCTCCATGATCAACGTCTTCGTTCTCTCCATCATTGCGGAGGTGGACTGTCCAACAGATATCTTCCCGAGACTGTACAAGTATGATTTCATTGCCTTCGTGCCGCACAAACGGGTTTACCTTCTTCCGGTGTGCCGTTGACGCCCACTACAGTTTGCTTTTGTTGCCGGCCGCATCATACATGATTGTTTCTAAAGACGGCAAATTCGCTCTGCATTCTCGACTTGAAACCATCCTTTCGAAGGAATATGAGCTCGTCATCATATCCTTCGTCACTTTGCTTTTCTTCCCGGAGCTCCACCTAACGCGTCGATGCTACGTGGTGATTGATTGATTTGTGGAGGTCCCAATGTTGGAAAGCATGAAGTCAAGGAACGGAGAAAGACGGTATAAAGACTCTTTGGATTTGCCCAAGATATCCCAACAACACACCGAATCCTCTTGAGCATTTCTACTTCTCAAACAACTCTTGATACCTACTCTCTAATAACTAATCTAATGGCCGCCGCTGTCGCACAACCCGTCGCACAACCAGTCAAATCCATCTCAACTCCTTCCGCCCCTCATGCTTCTGCTTCACATGTTCCCGATCGCATACTGCCCAACCCAAATCCAGCCAACATCCATGAAGCCTTGTCCACTGTCGTCGAGGCTGCAGCAATTGGCGCTGCTCACTGCGATGCCCACACAACTGGTACCGGTCCCCGAGTTCGCCATGGTAAGTAATTTTGCTTCATTTGTATAAACACTCTAACTTTGTTGCTATGTCAGGATCCAACCAATCCAACCACTCCCTCCGCGCCGGCTTTTACGGTGCTCAAAACCGTCTTTCTCGCGGCTCAAACTCTGGTGGCACTATCGGCAGTGCCCATAGCTACGGCTCTTTTGGTGAAAACCCTCCCGCTTACGGTGATCACACTGGTACCAAAGGCTGGGGAACTGGCAACACTTATGAAAAATCTACTAGAAGCTCTTCCATCCCCGGAGCGTACGGTCACAGCGTTGGTATGAAAGGTTTCGGTTCCGGAAACGACTTTGAGAGGAGTCGCGACACTTTCAACTCGGACCTCATGGTCAAGAACGGAAGCAGGAGGGGAAGTAACGTGTCTGGTCATTCCGCACCCTTGGCTGCGCATTCTTTCGGAAGTGGTGGTAGTGGTCATTCTAGACGGAGTGTTCCTGCTGACGCCGTCAGTACTACGAGCAGAACTAGTACCCATGGAGGGAAATTGGGTGACAAGGTCAAAGGTGCGTCGTTTGATTGAGTCCTTTCGCTAGCATTCTGACGTGCTTTGCAGCTGGTGTAGATGCTGTCGCTTCCAAATTTAAGAAGTCAGACGCTTGAGTTTGCTCTGATTTTGTCGATTGCTCGCTGAACGATAGACTTACATATATTCCGATACCATACATTTTTTTTTTTGACTTTTTCTGATCAATCGTCTTCTCATATTCATGTTCTGTATCACCGATAGTTTGTGTATCTGATAGCCGACTTTTCTTTTCTGTACAAGCCTATGATACGATCCTACCAGTCGTCACACATTACTTATTGCACTCGAACAGTAGAGTAGTATGTTGGTGTTTGCTATTTATGCGAATTAAAAACCACTATTTAAATCGTAAAAAAGTCTGACATAGTTCCTTGTTGTCCAAGCAAATTTAACGGGGAAATATGCCGGTGGGACTTGCCCTGAACGTTACACCCAAGTCGCGGGCACGAATGGGTGGCAAGATAAGGTCAAATTGCTGTAGCAAATTAAAAGATTTGGACGTTCAGGGGATTGAACCCTGGACCTTATACAGACGGAAGCCCGACCAAAGCCGTGCAAAGCATACGCGCTACCACTGCGCTAAACGCCCTTAAAGAATGACGCACGCGATTTTGTGGTACCCATTATGTCTTAGCTTCATCAGACCGCACTAGTTTGGTAAAGTGGGCAGAATAGCGACGAAAAAGGAAAGCACAACCCCCCTTATATAGAAGGTTCAATGTAAAACGAAGATGATCACGCTACGCACAGCGTAAAACGACGAAATTTTACCGGTCCAGAATCGGGAAAATTTGGGTAAATTCTGGACTTTCCTCAGAATTTCCCGGAAAAATCCTAGTACATATCTACCTATGTTTTCCTTAAAATATACTACTGCACAGCATTGAGCGGACTTGGCGAAATTTGGAAGCTGAGCGGTCAGATGACTCAAGCTCGTCTCACTATTCACGTCGCGCGACACGTCCACCTGCCCATACCAAGATGCCAGAGAAATTGGTCGAGTGCCCATGCAATAGGTGCATCAAGAACCCCCCGAATTTGCGGAAAGTAACACCAGGTACAAGAAGGAAACATAAGCAACGCTATGGGTTCCCAGATTCTCCGTCAACGGCAGATTTGGAGCGGGATGGGTCAGAGATGGGTTGTGGGGTGCAAGAAGGATTCGGAAATGATGGACTAGGCCCCGAAGACCCCGGATTGATGGACCTCAGGATTCCTACACCTCCTCCTGCTCAGACTCCTCCTGCCCGGACACCTACACCTCCTGCTCGTCCACCTACACCTCCTGTTCCTCCTGCTCATCGTGCTCCAGCTGCCATTCAACCTCCAGATGTCAATTACGTCCCCATGACAATACCCGGATCCATCTATCCTCCCATCAATGACTTTGATGCTCCTGTCGTTCCTCCTGCGTTCGCTGATGGGGATCCTTCTTGTATTCGCATCGCATATCTTAAGGCTATTCTCAACAATGTCAGCTCCAAGATGCCGGTCCGTCAAACCAACGATAACCTCTCCATGGATATGGACATGCTTGATGCTGCCGGAGTTCTCCCTGACGAGCCTATCCCTGTACGGACACTTGCAAGTGCTAAACGACGTCTAGGCATTGAGCCTGATGCTCATATTATCAACTATGCAATATGTCCTTTGTGCTGGAAGCACTATACGCCTCAAGACATGCAGGAACTGGAGTCTAATGGTTGCTTAACAGAAAATTGCACAGGTCTCATTTATAATGAGAAACACGACTCTAAGGGACGAGTAAAGCGACACCCGGTAAAGATTATTCCCCATGTTTTGCTGATTCAGAGTCTTCGACGTATGGTACGGCGGAAAGGTTTTCGGAAATTGATACGCGATAGCCGGGGGATGGAAGAGAATGCGAATGATGATGAAGACTTTGTGATGGAAGATATGTATCATGGGAAGATTTGGGATGAGTTGAAGACGGGTATGCAGAGGGAAGTGGGCGAGTTTGGTGCGGTCAGGGATGCTGCTGCTAGCGAAGGCTCAGAGAAGAGTTTAACTGAGCAACGTTTTGGACTGCACCTTGTCGTTAATTTGGACTGGTAGGTAATGATTTATCTTATTGAGCATTCTTCTATCTTTCATTTACAGGTTTGGTGCGCTGTCTAACCGTCCACATTCGACCGGGCCAATGTACATTTCTATTGCTGATCTCCCACGTCAATATCGTTTCATGCAGCCATATGTCATTTGCGTGATGATTACTCCAGGCCCCAAGGAACCAACGAATGAGCAGTTGAATCATTGTATGGAACCATTGGCACGGGATGTTTGCGCTCTCAAGGATGGTAAGCCCTTTTAGTCAACTGTACATGTTTGATCTTCTCGTTCATTGATATCTTTAGGTATTTTGATGGAAATGTACAACGAAGATGACACGAGTATCGTAGAGGAGGAGGTATATGCTGACTTCGTTTGCAACAATTGCGATACACCAGGGGCAAGGAAAATAGCAGGTTTTGCAGGTCATTCTGCCGACGTACACCCTTGCCCGTGGTGCCGTTGTACTATCCTCGACGTTAACAAACCGGAAGGCTATAATATTAATAGTAAGTTTGCTTCCTTCTCTGGAGTCTTTGCTGAGGCATATTTGATAGGTTTCCGTCTGAGAAACGACTTCGAAACCCTCCGGCACAAGTTCTCATCAAGAACGGCCTCATCACAACGGCAATCGGAGATTCTTGGTCGGCATGGCGTTAAATTTTCGACCCTTGACTGGATTCCAGGCTGGCAGCCATTGCGTCAAACAGCCTTAGATTTTATGCACTGTATATTTCTTGGTTCGTGTCATTTCTATTCTATCACTCCAACAATTCACAGCCTCATCAACAGGTGTTGTTGCCTACCTATTTACTACTCTGCTCTTTGCTGCCCACATGTTTTATGGTCAGGGCCCAAACTCAGCTCGTAGTCGCTTTGAAGAAGCTATCAATGACATAAAATGGCCTTCCCATGTTACAAGACTCCCGAAAAATGTACTTTCGTTGTTTGTAGTCCCACTCGTTACAACTGACTATGCAACAGCTTGGCGAGAATCAGTCATTGAAGAAAGCAGATGAGTGGCGGCGTCTGCTTACTGTTACTCCCGTTGTTCTTTGGCTTGCATGGCGAAACAACGATGATACGATACCCGACACGGAACCACCACCAGCACCTAACGAAAAAATCAACACCAAGCACTCAAGAAAACGTAAGTCACTATACGATGTCATCCTTTTACTCTGTATGGCTGTTCGCCTCCTCTCGAACAAGAAAATCACCATGCGTGAAGCGAACGCTGGTGTCACCTACTTGTCCAACTACTGTCGCGGTCTCCTACTTCTTGGTGCGTCGCTTACAATCAATCACCATCTTGCAATGCACTTGGCATCCATGGTCAAGTTATATGGACCAGTCTATGCGTGGTGGTTGTTTGCTTTTGAACGGTTTAATGGGATGCTCGAAAAGGTTAACCTGAATGGACACGAAGGTGGCCAAATCGAGCTCACCATGATGAGGTACTGGGTACAGGCTCATCTGATCTTTGAGTACCTCCTCGAACTACCTCCCGATGCTTCCGAACATGAGCGCAAACTTGTTGACAAGATCATCCATGCAGAAGTCGAGAACCAACGAGGTGCAATGATGACCGAGATCGCCATATTTCAGAGCGAAGCTTCAACGGATTCCATTTCTTTACCTAGGCGAATATCTAAATATCCACTCGACCTCCACAGATACACTCCACGGGGAATCGAAGACAAGAACCTGGACATCTACATGCTTTTGTATGAATTCTATCGAGATCTTTGGCCAGACCTTGCCCTTCAATTAGAATTTTCCCTTGAGCCAGGACTTCCCTTTCTTTCTTCACAGGTTGCTCGGCGACTCACCTATATCCGCAAGGACGGTTTGCGATATGGATCTACCTCAAATGTACGAACACAAGCTGACTCAATGGCATTTATTGCGCGGAACGGAACCCGTGTACCTGTGCAGATTATTGACCATTTTGTGGTGAATATCCCAAATTCAGGTAAACGACCTCACGTTTGTACACTTGTACGGCGCCATCGGGTCGACCACTACATTCCTCGTTTACCTTGGGATAGCTTGTAAGATAGTGAGTATTTTTTGTTCGTCTATGCTGATTTTTTTACTAGTGCATCTGTCCTTGGTATTCACGTCACTTACGCAAACGATTTCCATGAATATGAAGTTATCTCGGCGTCTATCATAGACTGTCCCTTGGCTATGATTCAAGCGGAGCACTTTTCAACTGGACAAGAGCTCTGTATTATGGTTTCATTTGACCATGTACGACATTACTAATATTACAATTCTTCTAACTAATGTTTGAATACAGACTGGCGCAGAGCCTCAAGAAACCTACGGCGACGATGACGAATAATGAACCCTAATCTTTGGCGTTGGTAACAGCCTTCTTCGGATTACCCTTGACAACCTTTGACGACTTCTGATTAGCTGACTTCTGCTTCTTCTTCTTCTTCTCGTTCTCTCCACCTTGGATCTTTCGCTTATTCTGCTTCTTCGCTTCTCTCACCTCCTGCAAGTGTTCTTCAATCTCGTCTGGATCAACTGCTTCTGCCCATTCGCGCCCGTTCTCCAAAATGTAGCTCACCGTGTCATATTTCCCGTTTTTGTCCAACCACGCCCTATCAATCATCCAATATCGAGGCTTGTTTTCCTTCAACTTAATTTTCGGTATCCCCTGATCCGTTGTTTCACCTCTAATGCGTTGCGTGTATTGATTCGATGGAGCCGGGTCATTCAATGCGTCGACGGTATCAAACAATTTCGTCAGCTAATACAAGTCAAATGAATCAACAACACAAGATCAAATGCAAGTTAATAAACATACCGTTTCGGAGCGATACTCGGGCGCTCGAGAAATGAACCTTCCATCCTTCTTCTGACCATTCTCGTACTCATTCTCATCATTGGACATGAAAATCGCATTGAAAGCAACATCATACTTGGTTTCCTTCACCCATTCATTTTCTCCAGTAGCCGATGCTCGTTTGCGTTCACGCACGGTAAGCTTCTGATCGCAAAGTGAGCTCACAATTATACCGATGATTGGTTTTAACTCACCCCAGTAGCACGAGCATTACGGATATGCTTTGGGAGACCTTCACCTTCTGCCGTTCCACTTCTCCGTTGCCCCGCTGTGCCTTTGAATATACGCCGAAGGTCCATGTACTTGATCTTGAATCGATCAAAGAGACCAACCTCTCCAGCAAGCTTCAAGTTCTCTTCGCAGTCGCTAACAATCTTCGCACCGTGATCCATTGCAAATTGAACCATAGTTTCCAATTTGACCTTGTTCTCCCCTCGTGCAGTGCTATTCCAGTCGAAACGTAGTTGTCGGACAGTCGTGCTACCTGAAATGAAAGGTAGAGTCGCGGCGACCTCGTCTTCCTCGTAAGCTGGTAAATCGTTCTTGGATGAGAGGGAAGTCGCTCCCAAAAACCGTTCGAATATCTTGGTTGTGAGTCGCTACTGCATTGTCAACAACCTTTTCTCCCGATATTGATATACAGCTGCATACCTTAATCT